GGCAGAAAGAAGGACAGTTGAACTTTTCGGATTTTGTCTGACAGATTTTGTCAGCAACTAGTTTACACTGGTTGCTGAGCCTGCATTAGACTTTGTTAGAGACATGACTTGGCTTTAGTATTGCCTCTTCTTTGTGCCACAGTGTGTGCCCTCTGCTGGCCAAAATGAGCTTGTGTTGTCTCTGGACTTGGGCAGATTTTCTCACATTAGAGACTCTGACTGTACCTCCTGGGTTGGGTTGATGTTTGAATAAGGGGACTTTTCTTCTGGGCGTGTTGGGAATGTGAGAAACAATGGCACTGACACCCACATGGTTGGAAGCCCTGTCATCATAATTCCCCAAATTCCTGCATATGTGGATATCCCCACTGGAGGGATGCAACTGTAGATATTACAGCTAGACCTTCAGGGTTTTCTACTCAGCAGACATGTATGGCAGATAAGTGTCTCCAGAGGTTTATCCACCCACTGACATCAGGCACAGAGCTAGAAAAATAGAATAGAGTTATTCTCATCTGAGGAGATTGTCTGGCCATGAGGAGAAAGGCTTGTCTTATATTCTTTATCTTGTATCTAATATACTTATATACCTCATCTTTGGTGTTATATACCCTTTCTTATATACCGTATATTGTACACCTTTCCTTACACACTTCACTCCTTGAACAGAGTTCCTGCTGTTTATTGACTTGACAGCATCCAGCCCTCCCACTCTCTACAACTGTGTCCCAGGTTTCTGTCTCTTCCTGTGACTGCATCAGGCTGAGTCCAGGCTCCCATATTTGTAGTTCTCTGTCTCAGATTCCTGCAGAAGTTCAGTTTTAAACAGCAGATTCCCTCTGAGAATGTCACTAGATGCTACTTGAATTGTCTAGAATGACAAAGTAAGATTTATGCCCACTGCCTACCCATTTATCACAGAAAAAAAAACAATTTTTTTAAATGGCTAACCAACTCCATAAGGAGCCTCTTCAGTGTCCATTATCCTTTTGAAGTAGATTTGTGCTCCCAGAAGCAGATGAGTCTCATTGTCATGAAAAGTCTTAAGTTTTAAAACATTTTAAATGTCATATTCCATAGGTCTTTGAAGTTTTGAATTTTATCTAACTGAAATATATCTCTATATATCCAGAAAACCTAAGTAGCATGACTAAAAGCTTGACTATTTTAGATGATTATCTATTAACCTGTATTTTTAATTAAATATTACATTTTTAAATGATCCGAACAAACAATACCTTACTAAAGAGCAGAAATATACATATAACAAAATTGACCTTAAATTTGTATCAATAAACCAAAAACTATAGTAACGCAAATCTCTATAGCATAGCCCCTTTTAAATGTAAACAAACATTTATTAAACCATCATTTAGGGAATTTGGGCATTGTTAGACTACTTCCTGCTGATTTAGGGTGCTATTAATCAGGTCTTCCATGGGATATCCTCTGTGGTAGGTCCCTCTCAGTTAGCAGTCCTGAAGCTGGCATGGATGTTGGACCATCTGGGCCATTATTTCAGGGGATCTTGTTTGATCAAACCACATTAGTCTACCAGGAATCCATAGGTTCTCATCCTCTGTGGAAACAAAAGTAGAACCTCTTTTCCAAAGCAACATATTCTTAGACCCAAAAATTGAAGTCAAGATACTTTAAAATATATATGTTGGTTGAGCTTAGTAGCCCAACAATGGAATGTCTGTATGGATTTAGCTCATTTACAGTCAAAAAAATTCAAAGAAAACACACAATAATATACATAATCCAGACTCTCTGTGTATATTCCACCTTTATGTGGCTTATCTTTCTTTATTCCTTTTATCTATGACTGTCCTTACTCTGTTTCTTTAAAGACTTTGTTTTATTTTATTTTATTTAAAAAAACATTTACTTCTTATTTATAATTATGTCTTCTCTCATCCAAGCCTATGTACATTTATCCAGCACTGTGGTCAATTTAGAGGTCTTTTTCATCTGTATTTGTCTTTATTGTGTATTTGTAATAGTTTTCTGACTAGGAATGTTTTTTATTTTAAAATGCCAAGGCTGCATGCCTAGGACAAACTTGGCCCTGGCTGCTTGCTCCTCCCAATTCAACATGGTGAAGGTCTGTCACTGCCTTTGTGAACCATGCTCACAGCCCCATTTTCAGGCATGCAGCAGGTGTATGTTACCATTAAGCAAGTTGTTGCACTCTATACAAAACCCCATTTAAATGCTTTGTAGCCAGACCTCCCAAGAGAATCAGAGTCATTTGTGCTAGTGAACCAGGAAGTCACCATTTTTAAAGAAGCCATTTAGTTTCTACTGCCCATCTCTTAAAGGAGCCAGCACCCTTGCTGGCCGCCAGCAAACAGAGCCCATCTGGAAAAAAAATGCGGCTTCCAAGAAGCTGTGCTTTGCGAGTCTAGAAGTTCCCTTTCTTTAAAACTTTCTCAGACTTGATGTGAAAATTCTTGCCCTACATTGGGTACCAATATTTTGTCAAGGAGACACCATGTAGCCGCTGCCAAAGGAGATAAATGCCTGGGAACCTTACCGGTAAACCACGAGCCTTGTGGTAAAATATAAAATAATAGAAATGGGTTAATTTAAGATGTAAGAACTAGTTAGAAATACGCTCAAGCTATTGGCCAAACAATATTTCTATTAATATAGTTTTTGTGTAATTATTTTAGGTCTGGGTGACCAGGAACAAACGACTGGCCTCGGACTACAACAGACCTACATGGAGAACTTTCAACAGATACATCTCAAAGGTCTGAAAGACACTTAAAGAAATGCTCAACATCTTTAACTATCAGAGAAATGCAAATCAAAACAACTCTGAGATTCCATCTTACACCTGTTAAAATGGCCAAGATAAAAAACACAGATGACAATTTTTGGAGTCATGGAATGGATGGAGTACACTCCTCAGTTGCTGGTGGGAGTGCAAACTAGTACAGTCACTTTCAAAATCAGTCTGGTGATTTCTCAGAAAGTTAGAAAACAATCCACCCAAAAGACATTGAATCATATCACAAGGACATATGCTTGTTCATAATAGCCTTATTTGTAATAGCCATAACCTGAAAAAAATCTAGATGCCATTAATCTGAAGAATGGAGAAAGAAAATGTAGTATATTTACACAATGGAGTACTACACAGCAGTAAAAATTAGCGGCATCTTGAAATTTGCAGGCAAATGGATGGTTCTAGAAAGAACCATGTTGCATGAGGTAACCCAGACCAAGGAATACAAATATAATTTGTATTCACTCACAAGTGGCTTTTAGACCTAAAACAAAGAAAATCCAGTCTACAGGCTACAACCCCAGATAAACTAGATGACAAAGAGGAACCTAATAGAGGCATATATGGATCTACAAAGGAATGTGTAAGACAAGATCTGAATAAGTTGGGAGCATGGGAATCATGAGAGAGGGTAAAAGGGGAGAGGGGAGAAAAAGAGAGGAGTAGAGAAAAATATATAGCTCAATAAAAGCAATTTAAAAAGGAAAAAGAATGACAAACTAAAAACAAAAGAATCAATACAAAATTCTAAGAAGTTTTCACACACTAACTACATTTCTTAAGTGTAACTAGTTAGGCTAGAAGTTTGTGATTAATAATTGTAGAAAATGCAATAGTACTGCTGCACTTTCTGAACACCTCTGTTCCCATCCCCAGTGGCTGGGAACACAGTGCTGGTAACCATGGTGACCTGCAGGCTTGGGAGGAAGGCAAAGTGCTTGATTTGCATCAGTATCTAGCTGACTTAATTAAAAAAAATCTCTTTGGAGACTTTGCTTTCAAATCTAGCAGGATGCCTACCAGGACCCGGGTGAGAAGGAACTCTTTTCTCTGAGGTTGGGTTAGTGACTCAAGCCTTTTTCTTATATCTCTAGGTGTAAAGGCATAAATAGTTTCCTGGGCTACGATCTTATGTTAATTGAAACCAAGGTGAAGGGTAAATACAAAATATTAATAGCCTGTTAGGATAGAGCAAAAGGCCAGTAGGTTACACTTTCCTGAGTCTGCTGCTTGAGAATTTCAGGGCCATCTAGACCTGTTGGTCAGTAAGAACAGACATACTGTCTCTCTGCTAGTACCTCCTGCTTAGGGCTTCTTTCTTGTCAATGAGTCTTATCAATAAGGATAGTTGTGGGTGACTAGTTTCATGTAGATATGACCGTTAGAAAAAAAGTTTGGCTGAGTGAATGCTTTCACATAAGGGTTCCATGATATGGGAAAAAGGCATATAGTGCCTGTACAGGAAAAGTCAGGTTTAAAGAATGATTTAAACACTGCTGGGATATTATGAAAGGGAGAGATGTCATGATTTCATAAGATTTCTACAGAATTGATAGTGACTACCCAAAAGACAGGTGTTGTCGAAGCTTTGAAAGTCGGGTTCTCCATATGGAGTATATACTCCTGTGGATTTGTCTAATAGATCTGTCAGCTATACATTCACTGTTATACATTCACTTGTGGGCCCTCATAAGACTTGATTTGTCTGTCTGTGATGTTTTATATTGGCAGTTATAGCAGACTAATATAATAACATCTTACCTATAATTACTCTATTCTTCTTTTTTTTTCTTTTTTTTTTTGAGACAGGGTTTCTCTGTGTAGCCCTGACAGATCTGGAGCTTGCTTTGTAGATCAGGTTGACCTTGAACTCACAGAGATCAGCCTTCCTCTGCCTTCTGAGTCCTGGGGTTAAAGGCATGTGCTACCATACCACACAATTGCTCTAGTCTTAAATTCACAAATACTCATGATGTTTGAGAACCTGATATTCTTATTCTATGTAACTATGAAGCACAGATAATAAACAACAGATGGAGAGCTCTTTTTTATTGACCCCCTATTAATGAATGGAATATCCACAGTATGAATGTTAGTCTATCTGATATTAATGGATGCATATTTTTGAGGGTCTACAGGTTCTATAGACAGTAAGAGTGCAAACTCATTACTGTATCTCTTTGTTTTTGTGTTCCATACGAAAATGGAGTCTCTGTGTATCAGATTCTGTGTATCAGAATTGCTGGTAATTTTTACTGGCCTGAAAATGGGGTATGTACATAGTAGCTCTAAGATCCAAGTCTATCTCTGCCTTTCTGTAGGTTTTTGACCTTGGATAAAGCTTTTCTTTCAAACTTGCTTCAGTCCACCAAATGCTGTGGGCTAGATAGCAACATTGGTTCTGAGAAAATTGGAAAGCTTTCTCTTTATCACAAGTGACAATAGCCTTAGGACATAATAACTATTCAGTTGAGATATAAAGGAATAATGGGTTCTTTCTGATGTCCATCATCGTCTTTCCAGAGGGTGAGGTGTTCTGTCCTTTGATCACAATGTGCTTTAGTATGTACAACAAAGCATTTTTGACCCCTCTTCATTCACTATGTACACATTTATCAGAATTTGCATAACTTCATGAATATTCAGGGGGCATGTATGTCCATTTTCTTTTGGAAAAGTTGTGACACAATAAGGAGGATTAGAAGAATGTTTTTCAACAAAGAAGGTAAAAAGCAGCTAACTCCCAACCACATGCTGCACTCTATTAATAAGGGATATGAACCGGAACCTTTCATTACTGGAGATGTGTATAATACTAGAGATGGATTGTGATAGCTCTGATTGGAGATTGTGTTATGTTGGAAAATAATGAGCAAGAATTAACTAAAACAGTAACCATTTTCATCCCAAATTAGGCTCCAAAAATAACTTTTGTCTCTTGGACTGGGATTCTTTGCTTTTTCACACATATGAGCTAAGTTGTAACTGGTAGTAAGTCAATTATTTCCAAAGGAGAAATGGCATTTCCAATGACTATGAGAAGATCAGGTATTCCATAAAGATCTTTAACCTGCAAGATCTCGTGGACTCTGGGGTGGGGATGAGCAAGATAGTTCTGCTTGGGAGGCTTGAACCCATGGCTTTTCACTTATTCATGGGACACTTAATTTTAATGGATGATTTTGACTTTTTGATCCCCAGTTTCTAAGTCTTTGGCCCTAGTGGAATCAAGTACAGGATCCCATATGTGATGAGACTTCTAAGGATGTGTTCAAGAAGCACTGCTAGCCTGTGTGTTTCTTAATTGCATCTGATCAGGATATTCATTATCCATGGCAACATTGGAGGGGGCTTTATGGTCATTACATTAGTTTAGTCAAAGCATAAAAAGCCTATGTTTTCGAAACTCACCTTCAGATTCTGTGCCTTTATCAACATTTCCCCTCGTGTTTAAATATGGTTACAACAGAAATAATGTCTGAAAAAAGAATCCCTGATTTCTTCATAGACAGTTGGTGGCTAATGGCTGTTAATCCCACTTTTTACTGTGCTTGGGCTTTAAGACCATTTGTTGTTTGTTTTGGATTGTCTTGAAGTACACCAAGTCAGTTGCAATGGAGACATCTACTTCAGGTTTGGTGTTCAATTTTCTAAACATCTCCCTCACTGTTAACTTTCCTCTCTCCATTTCCATCCTCCCTCTCATTCTCTCTCCTCTTCTTTCTTCTTTCCTATCCCCAAGGACAAATTCTTGGTTAATTATTGCTCTTGAAATCAGACAAGAGTTGGATGCAATCTCAAATGCACCCACATGGTGCTATGCAGAATAAATATTATTATATCTCCATGTTTGATTTCTAAAGAACCCAGAAGAACACACAGACTACATCTTTTAAAGTTGTAAGATTTTCAAAGATTGGTCATCATGTTGGAAAGGCCCAAAGCTCCCCTACAGGTCAAACAACACTTTCAGAATGACAGCAAGAAATATTCTAAGATAGATGTTGAATCATTTTACGTCATTTAGAACAAAGGAAATTCACTGTGGAGGAAGCTTGTGTGAGCAGACAGAGTAGGAGGAGCATAAAGGGAGAGTATAAAGTCAGAGGCAACGTTTGCGCCTGTGTGTGTGCCATCCGCAGGCAACTGGAGGTGATGAGACATCTAGTGGCCTGGCTGTTGTTAGCTGTCTGCATGTATGGACTGAATGCAGGTGAGGTGGAAAAGAGGGGGTGAGAATTGAAGTGGGGGAACCCAGAGCTAGTAAAGATTGAGAAAGGCTGGAACTCAGCAATCCATGACATCTTTTCAGTCCAGCAAGCAGAGGGTGGAGAGCTGTGGATTGAACTATTGTTCGTTCTTTCCCTCCTGGGTTGAGTGAGCACAGAACAGGCGACTTTATCTGTAAGGAAGCCCTACTTTCAACATCTGGATAGTGATAAAAATGCCTTCATGAAAGAGGGATACCATTACAGGTTGTTTGAAAATTTTTGCAAAGTCTGTTTTTAAGGAAGCAAGTTCTAAAATAAATAGTGTATGCACTCAGTGATTCTTTGCATTAGAATGGTCTATTAATGCCTTCCTAGCTGGCTGTTGGCTGACAGTGTCTGTAAGTTTTAAACACACACCACATGGGCTGACTGTGGGGCAGATTTCAGAGAGACTGGGCTCAGGTTTGGTGGGAGAAATTTCATGTTGATTCCTTTTATAAGTCATTTGTAATTTGAACCATATGAATGACATCCTTAGAAGACAAGTAACCTCAATGAAGAACAAGGGGTCTCTTCTTATGGTGTAGTTGTGAGGGTTAATCAGGAAGGGCAGAGGAGTTCCTTAGAGTTGCCAGCGTCTTTCAGCTGTGTCCACAGGAATGCAGAGTCCTAGAGAAAATTGGATTTGCTGTGCATGGCAGCTCGAAGAGCACAGGGCGTGGAGTACTGTGTCTAATGAAGAGAGAGTCAGAACATTTTGTTGCAGTAGTTTGTTTTGAAGGAGTCTCATGGAGTCCGAATAGGTTTCATGCTCACCATGTAGATGAAGGTAGCCTTAAATTCCTGATTTCTCAGTTTCTATCTTCTGAGTGCCAAGATTACAGGTGAGCGCCACTATCCCTAGTCAGTTTATATGTTATTGGGATCAAACTCAGGGCTTCTTTGTGAATGTTATGCAAGCACTCAACCAACTGAACCATATCCTCATCTCTTAGAAAGGATTTGGATTCTTGTTACCAGAGATCTAAAGAGGAAAGAATCACAAAACTTGGAATACTTTGACATAGTATTTAAGTAAATCTTGTCTATGACAAGGCAGAGTAGCTGTATTTAAGAAAGGACTGAAAGCAGATAGGCAGAAGAGAGGGGTTGAAGGCTGGAGGGGGAGAATTCAGAGCAAGTGAGGATTGAGAATGGCTGGAGATCAAGATGAAAGCATACTGAGTCATGATGTAATATTTACTCCCTTTGGCCAAGGGAGTCACATCACTTGTTGTCATGGCTTTATTTCCCTCCTGTGCTCCATGGAATGACTTTAGCCTACTCCAGGGAGACATCAAAAAAGTGAGAGCTCACACCTGAGTGGATGGAACTTCCTGGCTTTCCAAAGCTTGCTGTGACATTTCCTGGGCAGATATACAACCCCAGCTTGATGAGATGTTGCAGAACACTGATGTATCTGTCATAGTCATTCTGGATATGCAGTGTTTTAGAAGGTGGATTACATTTTACCAATTATTATTATTTTTTCCGTTAGACTTGTTTATTCAAGTATCCAAAAACACTCTTTCCACTTCCTCCCCTCCTCCCAATACCCTCCCGCTCCCCCCACTCCCCCCACTTCCTCTCCTCCTCCCTCACCATTCCCAAGAGCAGTCAGGGTTTCCTGCCCTGTGGGAAATCCAAGTTCCTCCCCCCTCCCTCCAGGTCCAGGAAGGTGAGCATCCAGACAGGCCAGGATCCCAAAAAACCAGTCCATGCAGACGAAACAAGACCCAGTGCCATTGTCAATGGCTTCTCAGTCTTCATTTGGACCTTGGGGGCTCAGTCAGCCCCCATGTCAACCACATTCAGAGAGTCCGGTTTGATCTCATGCTCCTTCAGTCCCAGTCCAGCTGGCCTTGGTGAGCTCTCATTCGATCAGACCCCTTGTATCAGTGGGTGAACGCACCCTTCGCGGTTCTGACTTCCAGTGCTCCAATGTGGGTCTCCGTCTCTATCTCCATCCATCGTCAGATGAAGGCCCCCTCTGATTTTGCTTTCCTTGCTCACGATTTTCCTCCCTCTGCTTCTCATTTGGACCTAGGGAGTTAAGTCCAGTGTTCCAATATGTGTCTCTGTCTCTATTGCCATCCATCGCCAAATGAAGGTTCTGTGGTGATATGCAAAATAATCATCACTATGGTTATGGGCCAAGGCCAGATCAGGCACCCTCTCCTCTGCTGCCCAGAGTACAATCTGGGGACCTCTCCTTGGGCCTGGGAACCCCTCCAGAATCAAGTCTCTTGCATACCCTAAAATGGCTCCCTTAGTTGAGATATAAACTTCCCTGCTCCCATAACCATCCTTCCTCCCTGCCCCCTCTCATTCCCCCAATCCATCCCCGATCCTCCTCCTCTCCCCTCTCCCTAACCATCTCCCCATATTTCCACCCCCACCCCCGTGCACCCAAGTTTGCCTGGCAATCTTGCCTACTTCTAATATCCAGGAGGATAACTATATGATTTTCTTCAGGTTCACCTTCTTATTCAACTTCTCTAGGATCACAAATTATAGACTCAAAGACCTTTAACTACGGCTAGAAACCACTTATGAGTGAGTACATATCATATTCCTCTTTTTTTGTCTGGGTTACCTCACTCAGTAAAGCGTTTTCTATTTCCATCCATTTGCATGCAAAATTCAAGATGTCATTGTTTTTTACCGCTGAGTAAAACTCTAATGTGTATATGTACCACACCATTTTTAACCATTCTTCTATTGAGGGGCCCCTAGGTTATTTCCAGGTTCTGGCTATTACAAATAATGCAGCTATGAACATAGTTGAATAAATACTTTTGTAGTATGATAGGGCATCTCTTGGGTATATTCCCAAGAGTGGAATTGCTGGGTTCAGAGGGAGGTTGACTCCCAGTTTCCTGAGAAACCGCAACACTGATTTCCACAGTGGCTGTACATGTTTGCATTCCTACCAACAATGGATGAGTGTTCCGCTCACTCCACATCCTCTCCAGTATAGGCTATCATTGGTGTTTTTGACTTTAGCTATTCTGACAGGTGTAAGATGGTATCTCAAAGTGGTTTTGATTTGCATTTCACTGATCACTAAGGAGGTTGAGCATGACTTTAAGTGTCTTCTGGCCATTCGAAGTTCATCTGTTGTGAATTCTCTGTTCAGTTTAGCACCCCATTTTTAAATTGGGTTAATTAGAATTTTAGTGCCTAGTTTCTTGAGTTCTTTGTATATTTTGGAGATCAGACATTTGTCTGATGAGGGGTTGGTGAAGATCTTTTGCCAGTCCGAAGGTAGGCTTTCTGTCGTACTGACAGTGTCCTTTGCTTTACAGAAGCTTCTCAGTTTCAGCAGGTCCCATTTATTCATTGTTTCTCTTATTGTCTGTGCTACTGGGGTTCTACTTAGGAAGTGGCCTCCTGTGCCTATATCTTGTAGACTACTTCCCACTTTCTCTTCTATCAGGTTCAAACTGGACAGATAAATGTTGATGTCTTTAATCCATTTGGACTTGATTTTTGTGCATGGTGATAGATATGGATCTACTTTCATTCTTCTACAGGTTGACATCCAGTTATGCCAGCACCATTTGTTAAAGATGCTTTCCTTCTTCCATTGTATACCTTTAGCTCCCTTGTCGAAAATTAAGTGTACATAGGTTTGTGGATTAATATCCGGGTCTTCTATTTGATTCCATAGGTCGACTTCTCTGTTCTTATGCCAATACCAAGCTGTTTTCAATACTGTAGCTCTTTAATAGAGTTTGAAGTCAGGGATGGTAATGCCTCCAGAAGTTCCTTTATTGTATAAGATTTTTTTTTGGCTATCCTGGGTTTTTTGTTTTGCCATATAAAGTTGATTATTGTTCTCTCAAGGTCTGTGAAGAAGTTTGATGGGATTTTGATGGGGATTGCATTGAATCTATAGATTGCTTTTGGTAGAATTGCCATTTTTTACTATGTTGATCCTCCCAATCCAAGAGCAGGGGAGGTCTTTCCATTTTCTGGTATCCTCCTCAATTTCTTTCTTCAAAGACTTAAAGTTCTTGTCAAATAGGTCTTTCACTTCCTTGGTTAGAGTAACCCCAAGATATGTTATGCTATTTGTGGCTATCGTGAAAGGTGATGTTTCTCTGATTTCTCTCTTTGCTCCTTTATCCTTTGTGTATAGGAGGGCAACTGATTTTTTGAAGTTGATCTTGTATCCTGCCACATTACTAAAGGTGTTTATCAGCTGTAGGAGTTCTTTGGTAGAGTTTTTGGGGTCGCTTATGTACACTATCATATCGTCTGCAAATAACGAAACTTTAATTTCATCCTTTCCAATACGAATCCCCTTGATCTCTTTATGTTGTCTTATTGCTATTGCTAGAACTTCAAGCACTATATTGAAGAGGTATGGAGAGAGTGGACAGCCTTGTCGTGTTCCTGATTTTAGTGGAAAGGTTTTGAGTTTCTCTCCATGCAATTTGATGTTAGCTGTCGGCTTGCTGTATATTGCTTTTATTATATTTAGGTATGATCCTTGTATCCCCAGTCTCTCCAACACCTTTATCATAAATGGGTGTTGAATTTTGTCAAATGCTTTTTCAGCATCCAATGAAATGATCCTATGGTTTTTTTCTTTCAGTTTATTTATATGATGGATTACATTGATAGATTTGCGTATGTTGAACCAGCCCTGCATCTCTGGGATGAAGCCGACTTGATCATAATGGATAATTTTTCTAATGTCTTCTTGGATTCGGTTTGCCAGTACTTTACTGAGAATTTTTGTGTCGATGTTCATGAGTGAGATTGGCCTGTAATTCTCTTTCTTGATTGTGTCTTTGTGTGGTTTTGGTATCAGGGTAACTGTAGCTTCATAAAAGGAGTTTGGCAATGACTCTTCTGTTTCTATATTGTGGAATACATTAAGAAGTATAGGTATTAGCTCTTCCTGGATGTTCTGGTAGAATTCTGCATTGAAACCATCTGGTCCTGGACTTTTTTTGGTAGGGAGATTTTTGATAACAGCTTCTAATTCTTCACGACTGACAGGTCTATTTAGATTGTTCACCTGGTCTTGGTTAAACTTTGGTATATGGTACTTATCTAAAGAAATGTTCATTTCTTTTACATTTTCCAACTTTGTGGCATATAAATTTTCGTAGTAAGATCTGATGATTCTCCTAATTTCCTCTGTCTCTGTGGTTATGTCCCCCCTTTCATTTCTGATCTTATTAATATGCATGTTCTCTCTCTGTCGTTTGATTAGTTTGGATAGGGGTTTGTCAATCTTGTTGATTTTCTCCAAGAACCAGCTTTTTGTTTCACTGATTCCTTGGATTGTTTTCTGTGTTTCTATTTTGTTGATTTCAGCCCTCAGTTTGATTATTTCCAGTCTTCTACTCCTCCTGGGTGAATCAGCCTCTTATTTTTCTAGAGCTTTCAAGTGTGCTGTTAAGTCTCCAATGTGTGCTTTCTCCGTTTTCTTTAACTGGACACTTAGTGCTATGAACTTTCCTCTTAGCACTGCTTTCATAGTGTCCCATAGGTTTGAGTATGTTGTGTCTTTATTTTCATTAAATTCAAGGAAGACTTTAATTTCTTTCTTTATTTCTTCCTTGACCCAGGGGTGATTTAATAGTTGACAGTTCAACTTCCATGAGTTTGTTGGCTTCCTGGGGGTTGCATTGTTGTTGAATTCTAACTTTAATCCATGGTGATCTGACAAGACACAGGTGGTTACTAATATTTTTTTGTATCTGTGGAAGTTTGGTTTGTTACCAAGTATGTGGTCAATTTTTGAGAAGGTTCCATGGACAGCAGAGAAGAAGGTATTTTCTTTCCTATTTGGGTGGAATGTTCTATAGATATCTGTTAAGTTCATTTGATTTAATACCTCAAATGATTCTCTTATTTCTCTGTTGGGTTTCTGTTTGATTGACCTGTCCACTGGTGATAGAGGTGTGTTAAAGTCTCCTACTATTAGTGTGTGTGGTTTGATGACTGCCTTGAGTTCTAGAAGTGTTTCTTTTACGTAAGTGGGTGCCTTTATATTAGGGGCATAGATATTTAGGATTGAGACTTCCTCCTGATGAATTGTTCCTGTTATGAGTATGAATGTCCATCTCTATCTCTTCTGATAGATTTTAGTTTGAAGTCAATTTTGTTAGATATTAGAATGGCCACACCTGCTTGTTTCTTAGGTCTGTTTGCTTGGAAAACCTTTTCCCAGCCCTTTACTCTGAGTAGATGTCTGTCTTTGTGGTTGAGGTGTGTTTCTAGTAAACAGCAGAATGTTGGATCTTGTTTTCGTATCCAATCTCTAAGTCTGTGCCTTTTTATAGGTGGATTGAGTCCATTGATAGTAAGTGATATTAATGACCAGTGGTTGTTGACTCTGGTTATTTATTTATTTTTTTTGGGGTAGTGGAATGTATGTTTTTCCCTTCTTTGAGTTCTGCTTGTGAAGGGTCACTAGATGCCTGAGTTATTGTAGGCAGTGTTAGGAATGTTGGATTCCTTGGGTTGTGATTTGCCTTCTAATACTTTCTGTAAGGCTGGATTTGTAGCGACGTATTGTTTAAATTTGTTTTTATCCTGGAATATTTTGTTTTCTCTGTTGATAGTGAATGATAGCTTGGCTGGGTACAGTAGTCTGGGCTTGTGTCCACGGTCTCTTAGTTTCTGCAGTACCTCTATCCAGGACCTTCTGGCTTTCATTGTTTCCATAGAGAAGTCTGGTGTAAGTCTGATAGGTTTACCTTTATAAGTTACTTGATCTTTTTCCTTTGCAGCTCTTAATATTCTCTCTTTAATCTGAATGTTTTATGTTTTGATTATTATATGGCGAGGGGATTTTTTTTTGATCCAGCCTATTCAGTGTTCTGTATACTTCTTGAACCTTCATAGGAATATCGTTCTTTAGGTTGGGGAAGTTTTCTTCTATAATATTGTGGAATATATTTTCTGGACCTTTGATCTGCACTTCTTCTCCTTCTTCTACCCCTATTACTCTTAGATTTGGCTTTTTTTTGTGTCCCACATTTCCTGAATGTTTTGTGATGAGAATTTGTTGGATTTGCTGTTTTCTTTGATCATAGCTTTTAATTTCTCTATGTTGTCCTCAGAGTCTGAGATTCTTTCTTCTATCTCTTGTATTCTGTTGGTTATGCTTGTTTCAAAGTCTCTGTTCATTTACCTAGATTTTCCATAGCCAGACGGCCCTCGGCTTGTGATTTCTTCATTGACTCCATTTCAGTTTTGAAATCCTGAACTGTTTCCATTACCTGTTTGATTTTTTTTTCTTGGTTTTCCAGAATTTCATTTACGGATTTACTCATTTCTTCAAACCTTTTGGTATATTTCTCTTCCATTTCTTTACTCATTTCCTCAATCTTTTTGTTTTACTTATCTTCCATTTCTTTACTGCAGATTTTCACCTCCTGTTTAAATTCCTCTATTATTTTCATAAAGATCCGCTTAGAGTCAGTTTCTCCTATTTCTTCTGGAGTAGGGTGTTCAAATCTTCTAGATTCGTGATCCCTGGATTCTGGAGATGTCATGTTGCCTTTCAGGTTGTTGGAGGAATTCTTGCATTGGTGCTTGCCCATCTCCTCCACTCTGGATGAAACTCCTCAGCACTCTCTGGATAGAATTCCTCAGCACTGCAGCAGGGCTAGCTGGTGTTTCCAGGACCCAGGAGACAAAAGGGCGGCAGCAGTGTGGGCAGGGAGGGGTCCCGTGGGACACCGAAGACCCTGCTGCAGAAGCTGATGGGGGAGGGGCTGTGCTCTCTTCTGGGACAGAGAGCCCAGGCGAGCACCCACTCACCTCTCTGGATAGAACTTCTCAGCACTACAGCAGGGCTAGCTGGTGTTTCCAGGACTCAGGAGACCCCAATTATTTTTTTTATCTTTTAGACTTGACTTCCTATTTCCACCCCCCAAAGGAAGGTAAGAAAACAACCTCTATCTGGCAGCATCTTAAAAGCCAGCTTCCACCCCTCAAAGAGGAACAGGTACTTGCTTTTCTGCCATGGAAACTTTTCCTGACCTAAGAGGATTCCCTGGGTCACATCAGCTAAACAATATTTAGATCCATTTAAGTGATCAACTGAAGATTCTCACTTGTCACTCAAGAAAGGCACTTTTTTATCCATTGGGACTCAGATAAGGCACTATGTGCATTTCTGTACTTGATAGTTTATTCCCTTTTCATTGGCAAATAGTAATTATGCATTTATGGAGTCAACTTTGATGTTTTGATATAGGTTCATATGAGTCATTAAATCAAGGTCATTAATGTAATTAATAAAACCATCTTTTTACAAATATCATTTAAAATTTTTATCTTTTTAAAATATAATTGCATTATTTCCTTCCATTTCCTTTTCATTCTCTAACTCCTCCAATGTTCCCTCTATATTACTCTCAAATTCCTGGCCTCATCTTCTGTAATACATACTTATATATTCTTACATATATAGTCACAGCTTGCTGCATCTGTACAGGGATGCATGCATCTACATGATTTTAGGGCTGACCACTTGGTATTGGATAATCAAGTAGGAGACTCCTCTATGAGAAAAAACTATTTCTCCCACTCTCAGCATCCTTTAGTTTCCTATAGTTTTTTGACTAGGGGTGAGGTTCAGTGATATTTTCCCCTTCTGTGTTAGCATGTCCATTATGCTTGTTCAGGTCTTGTTTAGGCAGCTATATTGTTGAGCTATCGTGGGTGAAGCTTTCCTTTCATTTCTAGGAGACACAATTTCACAGTAGATTTTTCTGGTCCTCTGACTCTTACAATTTTTTCTGTTCTTCTTTCACAATTTCCCCTGGGTTTTCTGTGCAGAAGCTGTGTTATAGATGGATCCACTGGGAACGTGAACCTCATGATCAGTTGTTCTTCGTTTTTTTGACCAGTTGTGGTTTTCTGTAATGGTCTCTGTTTGTTGCCAAAAAAAGCGTCTGTGATGACGGGAAGAACTGCACTTACCTGTGGGTCTGAGGATAAACACTTAGAATGAGTTAGGAATTATTTTGAAAAGATTAAGTTTTTTTTTTATAAGGAAAGGTAAGCAATGCCAAAGCCTTTTCTTTTCTTAAGAATAAGGGGATGGCAGTGGGTTGCCTGTATGGTTCAGTTTCTGATAAGAGTGGAGCAGTGCATTGGGAGAAGGCGCAGATGCTACTGCTGCAGACAGGGCAGAGAAAATTGCAACTGATGCCAATGCCTGTAGAAGGCAGTAGGGGATTGGAGAGATGTTTGGGGATTGCATTAGTAAATCAGAGGAACCAATGATAAGAAAGGTTCCAGACTATGAGCTCTGAAAATGAAGTCTCTCACTGCTAATGGACTTCCCATTGAGGAAATCTCTGACTTTCTTGGAGATTGGCTGATATTTTCTGTTACAAACAGGAAAGGTAGCAAGTGACACCTGCTGCAGTTGAATGCAGGGGTTTTGGGAGAGCAGGACTGTGTCTCACTGAAATGAACATTTTAAAATCAAGTTCCAGCTGGGAACGGTAGCTCAGGTTTGTAATCTCAGCATCAGGAGGCTGAGGCAGGAGGACTGACATGAGTTAGAGGCCAGTCTTGGCTCCAGAGTTCTAGAACAGACTACATTACAGGAGTGAAATTTTCCTTAAAAATTAAATGAAATACAAAAATTAAAAAGTCAATGCCTGGTAATTGTGAATGCTTCTAATGCTAACACTCAGGAGGCAGAGGCAGGTGGGTTTCTGAGTTAAAGGCCAGCCTGGTCTATATAGCAAGTTGTATGCCAGCCAAGATCAGCCTAATGAGAACCTGGAATCAAAGAAATAAAGAAAATACAATAAATTCATTTCTCATCTTGAGTGTCTTTTACATTTTGAATTTGTTCTTTTCTCCAGAATTTTTTGAGCAAAACTGCACTTTTCCGTTCCTCTATAATGAGGTGATCTATCACAGCTGCACCTCTGTCCACAGCGACTTTGATTGGTGCTCCTTTGATTATTCTTTCCAAGGAAGGTGGAGATACTGCAACGCACTTGGTGAGAGTCCTATAAAGGTGTATATGAGATATTCAGGACCCAAGTGGCAGGGTGTAGAATCTGGAGAAAATGTTTTAGATTTTAGAAAGTGATCTTTCCTACATAAAAATAAAATCATAGAAAAAGCTGAAAGTTTTCTCAACAGGGCTTAATTTGAGGACAGTATTCATAGTTTACCCCTTACTCATCTTTCTGTGCAGATCCTCCAATGTGTATCTTCCCTTTCCAATTTGGAAAAAAGTTCATTAGTGAATGTACCAAGGAAGGCTACATTTTGAGTCGGAGTTGGTGTTCATTGACTGACAACTACAACAGAGACAGAAAATGGAAGCAATGCTCTCCCTACAAGTAAGATGATGGGGGAAGATAGATCAATGTCCTATGAGCTATGAAAGGAGCAAAATATTAGGTTGATGGATGGGGAGTCTGAGACCTCGGTCTCCTCCAGCTATGACTTAGTCGGGGGCAGTAGACATTTCCTGCGAAGTATCTCCTGTTGAGTACAGCAGGTTTATCAGAGTGTGTGGTACTGGTCACAAATATTCAGCTCAGCTTTGTAGCACAAACGTGGCCACAAACAGAACAAGTGTACTGGATCATGGGAAGATTTGATGTTCTGGTGTCTAATGCTGTTTCATAATTATAATGGCATGTGCATTACTTACTTTTGTCCTTGCTCTGACAAAACACGTGATGAAAACAACTCAACAAAGGAGGGAAGGGTTTGAGGCAACACAGCCTGCGGTGGTATGGAAAGAAGGTGTGGTGGGGAGAACTTGAGTCAGCTGATGCATTGTACCGGCATTCAGCAGAGACAGACAGACAGAGGCTTGTATTCAGTCGGTCACTCTTTTTTTTCTTTTCTAGTGAGTGAGGCTTCAGTCCAAGAGTTGTTGTTGCCCACATTTAGGTGAGTTTTTACTCCTCAGTTAACCCTTTTCTGACATGTCTGCATGTGTGTTTCCTAGGTGATTCCAAATCTAGTCACATTAGCAATGACTACTAATTAGCCATGTTGTTATGCATGCATTGTTTTCCAGTTTTAAAACTTGTTTTGAGTCACAAAATAAATATGACGTAGATACTCACTGAAACACCGAAGCAGCACATGGCAAGATAAACATCAGCGTTCTTTCTGTTCTCCTCCCAGGAACTCTCTTCCACAGGTGCTTGTGCTGCCCCACACATCTCCACAGATACATATATCTTTAAGATGGAACTGAATCTGCTTTCCCCTTTGTCACCATGGCTTGATCATCACTAAAAACACACTGAAGGGGTTTTCCCTATAAATGCATCAATCTCCCTCACTTTCTTGTGTGCATGCTTGTCAAATTTTAAGTGGTTAGAGATTATCCATCATCCATATATGAAGCTTCTGATTAAAACAAACCTTGTGAACATTGACAGTGATGGATGGATTTTTCGAACAGTGGACAGCACAACTTTATGTCATTTTAAAAAACAAGATATATATTCAGTTTTTATTCATTTAGTATTTTTAATTAAATATTTTATACAATATTTTTGATTGTATTGCCCTCTCTAACCTTTTCTAGGACCTCCTTATCAATATTCTGCTACTTCTTTACCTTATATTCTCTCTCTCTCCATTCTTCAAACACACACACAAATATATATACACATGCACACATGTGTGCACATCCCCATCCCCCAAAACCATTACAATGAAGAATATGTGCAGCCTTATGACGTCATTGGTATTATGCCACACGGGCTCATGCTATTCTAATCTCCTATCAAAGAGGAGAAAAGACTGTTTAATAGCAGGGGAGACAAATGAGACACTGACATTGGAAGGGTGGAGAACCAAGATATTCATTCTAACATGTTACCTTCTCTTCAGTTTTTAGGTAAGCTGTGTGTTTTTGAAGAGACAGAAGTTACAGATTTATTAGTTGCTTCTATAACTACAGTTCTCTGTTATTAAGGAGCAGTATGATAATAAATGTCTATGCTCTTGTCTATCTGGATATCTTGCTTCTGGAAAAAATGTCAAAGCATACATTTCTTGTGTGAGAGAATTTTCCTGAGGAGACAATACACACAGACACACAGACACACAGACACACAGACACACACAGACACAGACACACACACAGACACACACACACACACACACACACACACACACACACACACACACACACACAAAACACCTCTACTTACTCCAGATTCGGAACTCACAAAAGATTAAAGTAATGATAACACCAAAGTCCAACCTGGTGAATTCATTAATTTTTATTGTGACAACTAAGACGAGTATGGGTAAGGGGTTACTTACAAGAGCAAGGATTCACCCTTGCCCCCAAATCAGCTGTATCACAGAAAAGCACACCTTAACAGTGATGACAACTCATGGAAGCTGCACCTTGAATCTCTTTGCCCAACTTGTAACTCTAATGGGTCCAAGAATGTTCTCTCAGTAGTTTTGCTGGTCATATTATTGTCTCTAGCAGTTTTTTAATCCTCGATAAAGCCGTAAAAGGATTTTAACAAACCTTGCAAATTTCCACTTTTTGAGACATGTGACATTTTGTTTACCTCCAGAGTCTTCTGAATCTCCCCTTCTTCCTGGAGGGAGTGTTTGAGGAAAACACTATACAACAAAATAGACGATTCACATTGTTACACAGTCAGTGTCACCCCTCAGTAGCAGTGGGACACATACTCTTGATACAAGTCACCAAGAAGAGTGGTGTAAAATGAAACAGACAGACCAAAAGATAGGGAGAAACGGAAAATAGAAATAGCAAGAAACAGGTTGTGTAGCAGTTGTGTAGTGGATAAAGTGTATGATGGACAGGCATGAGAACCTAAGTTTGGATCCCAGAACCCACATAAAAGCAAGCATGAAAAACATCCCCGTAACCTCAGCACTGCTTGGGAGTGGGAATGGAAGCCACAGATCCTAGTGGCTTGCTGACCAGTCAGCTTCCCTCCAATGGTGAGTTTCAAGTTCAGCAAGAGATGCTGCCTCAAAAACAAAGTGGAGAGAAACAGTGGGAAATATTCAAAATCAACACCTGGCATTCACAAACTCAAGTACATCTCATCCCTGTGAACACGTGTGTATCTAACACATACAAACACAAAGGTGGGAGAAATTGAGACACATCTATCCCAATACATGCATAAAATAAAAGAAATAAGAGGCAATGAATCATTATAACATCTCCAAAAGTTCAAAGTTCCTCATTCAATTCTGGAAACCAAAGGTAATAAAATGGCTAAAATATAAGATAAAGCTATTAACTACTCCAGGGCCTCATGTTCCTGAGTAGTTGACCAACATATAATGGGATCCACAGCTATGTGTGTGTGTGTGCGCGCTTTTATTTGGTTAAAGTTTATTGTTTGATTTTCTTTTTTATTTTTCAGTATTATTTTATTTTGTTTTCTTGGTTTTAGGGGCTTTAATCATTATATTGGTTTTTTATTTTTTATATTGAGAAAGAACTTTAAATTGAGTGAATGGGGAGAGGGTATAGAAGGACTTGAGGACAGGGAAGAATAATCAAAATATATTTAAATTAAAAAATATTTAAATAAAGAATAAAATTAAAGTTTTAAAATAAATTATTATATGTTTAAGTTATGGGAGAAAATTTAAAGCACAGAAACCCAGTTGGTAAAAAAAAAAATGGAAGCGACACTAGGAAGAAGTGAGGATGGGGAAAGTGGATCTTAACAATTTATTCAGAGGAAAACACTCTAGTAAACTACAAAGAGGGTAGAGGTATATTACATATTCAAAACGTAACAATAAGTTGTTTAAGTGTTCACCATAAAGAAATGTTAAATATTTGAAGAGATGGATATATTTGAATTGCTTTAAACAGTACAAGATGTATGCATGCATGAACACATCAGATGGTACACCATACGTGTGTTGAATTATCATGTTTATGTGTCATTTAAAAATAAATTGATAAAAAAGATCAAAATAAAAAAATAAAAAGATCAGCAATCATATAGAGGACTCAAGTGGATAGATGAAGCAAGAAGCCCAATTATGTGTCTAAAGGAGAAAGTTAACAATGTGGATGAGATGACCAAACCTTTAGAGGAAACATCCAATAGCATGAAGTTAAGGCTAAACAAAGTAATTGAGCCTAGAATAGAACCAAATGGAAATATTGGAATAAAGAATCAATCAATTAAATAAAAAGAACAGTGACAAGTGTCAGCATTAGATAAGGCCAATCAAATGAATGAATTTGAGGGATAAAAGATAGGACAAGTTGAGACAATCTTAAATTTATACACCCTACCATATCTATATTAATCTATTTCTGTATCTATAGCCTCTGCACTAGTTGGGGGTGGTGGTAGAAACTATAGATCCTGGTGGCTTGTTGGCCATCCAGCCTAGCTATAATGATGCGCTTCACAATCAGTGTAAAACTCTGCTTTCATCACCCAAAATAAAGTGGTGAGCTAGAGCTTAAAACTTTCAAAGTTGATATCAGGCATTCAAGCATGCATGCACAGCCAACTGCACCCCCATGAGCACACATGCATATAAACACAGACATGTCTGTGTGTATGCATGTGTGCATGCACATATACGTACAGACATACACATATAGAAAAGAGTAGGGAGAAAATAATGAGATAAGCATGGCCCAAATTCAAGAACTTAAATATACTCGAGACAAACTCCCAAGAATTCATGGTGTAGAAAGATAAGTACAGAAAGTCTAACAACATAGTCAATATAATCAGTGAGACTGTAGTAGTTTTCTTAGCCCAGTGAAGAAATTTCTAAATCCAAATACGAGAGACACTTGTAACAGGTTAATTAAACATGGATGGCTTAGTTTTTGAATCCAGTTGAAGAGAGGAAGGAGGGAATATATTAGCAAGGGAGGTCAAGATAATGATGGAGAAATCTACAGAGACAACTGAACCAACCTCATGGGAACTCATGGGAACTCATGGGAACTCATGGGAACTGATAACTGTGGAGCCTCCATGGGACCAAACTAGATCCTTCATATGTAGGAGACAGTGATGATGCTTGAACTATCTGACAAGCCCCTGGCAAAAGGTCAAAGATCTATCCTTGGTGCATGAGCTAGCTTGTTGGAATTCATTCCCTATGATGGGATTCCATGCTCAACCTTAACGCAGTGGGGCGAGGCTTAGTCTTGTCCCAAGTTAATGTGACAGACTTTGTGGACTCCCCATGGGAGCCCTTACCCTTGGGAGAAATGAAAGGGGGACGGGCTTGGGGGAGGTAAGGGAGGTGGGAAGAGGGGTGGGAGAGGAGAACTGAGGCGGGAAGGTAAAATGAAATTTAAAAGTAAATAAAATGAATGTGATTAA